TCCTGGTATCGGCTTGTTCTGTTTTGAGACCGACTCGCTTGCGGGTTGGTATTGTTATTGGTTTGACCGTTCCGGAGTTATCTGGAATCAGAGAAGGGAAAAAGAGACGGCGCAACCTCTATTCAGTTTAGTTTAGTTTAGTTCTTACAGGACGAATTGTGTTCGTTGCCAATGAAATAAATGGGTCTTGGCACTTTATGCGGCCAGGTGTCAACTACTGACCGAGCAAACAAATCCCTTATTTGCTGTCGGTACGTGGGGACTGTCCGAAGTCAAACAGGTAGTAATTGTTAAGGATCATGAAGTAGTAATGACTTCGGATTTCATCTGGGGAAGCCAATGCAAAATCGCAGCTCGCGAGGCACGGGGAGAACTTTTACAGCTTAGATCGGCTCTATCTTGCAGGAAATCGGAAATCCTTGTCCTCTTGTAAAAAGCAATAGTAAGGCCCCATTTATAATACTGTGTCCAAGCCTGAGCACCTCTGCACAAAAAGGACACCGCCTGCCTGGGGAAAGTGCAGTGACTAGCTACAAGAATTGTAGAGGGGCAGAGAGGTAAATCATACCAGGATAGTTTAAGGGACCTCGATCTATTTTCGCTAGAAAGAAGGCGAGTTAGAGGACACCTCATAGAAACATTTAAAATTAGGAGGGGTTTCTCTGGGATTCCTCCTGAGGAACTCATCAATGATGACCCATATGCTTGTACCACGGGTCACCAGCACAAACTGATGAACAAAAGGAGTCGGTTAGGTGTGAAGTTCAAATACTTCAGCAATAGAATAGTTAACAGGTGGAATAAACTACCTGAGGAACTAGTCAACCTACCTAGTGTCCACGCCTTCAAACTGGCTTTGGATAAGAGGTAGTTAGAACTGTTCCCGAAAGACAAGTACTCAAAAGGATGCGACTGTTAGATTTATTACTTTTTTGTATGCAATATGGAACGCATTCACATTAAAAGTCTCTCGCTGACACGGCGAGAAATAAGGTTTGTCTTTCTCTCTGTTTACAGAGGCGAAGAAAACGATCAATTGAAGAAGTGGATTAACACTCGTGAGCACACCACCGAAGGAATTCTGGACGCTTGATGGGCCTGTGGCCACTAACAGTCCTTTGCAACCTGAACTCGGCACCCAGAATCGAGCGAGGACCTAACAGCAGATACCTGCAAAAACGCAGATAGTGCGTCTTCGTAGCTCTGACCCTGTGGACAATTAAGTGGTCATCATAATAGAGACATATTGGAAAAAGAATGGCAGCGTTGCCTTCAATCTTCAGCAGTAAGTGACAGTAGGTCGGCACGGGGACACTACATGTGCAACTAGCACGCCCCAGAAGAAGGCATCACAGTCCAATGGATAGGATTGTACAATAAGATGTGTAACTCAGAACAACTTTCTAAAAATAAGGTCGTGTCTGAGCAACCTTCTTTGTTTCTTAGACGAAGTTACAAACAGGTTAGATGGAGGTCAGAAAGTCGAAGTGTGCTACCTGGACTTCAGGAAAGCTTTCGACTCGGTAAGTCACCGGCTCCTGCTAATAAAACTCAGGTGCGGTTCCTGCCTTCATTTTTGCCGACGATGTCAAAATAGTTAACTCAGGACCTGTAGATCAATTGGAGGGTGATCTCGTTAAGGTAGTTCGGTGGACACAGAAGTGGGACTTGGGGCTAAACGCCACCAAGTGTCACGGTCTAAATACCGTAGGGCTTCCAATTTGCGTGGCTACGACCACTGAAACGACGGTCTTCGCTCGCGTAGACCAAATGCTGGATCTGGGAATT